GTGTTTTGCTGCTGTGGGAATTTCAAGAAAGAACTAGATAAGAGAAAGGAAAAGTTGTGTGTAGATGTGAAGTTTGTACCATTCCACCAGCAAGAACCTGATGGTTGAAAGCTTCTGTGCCTGTGTGGGAAGGCTATATCAGTGCAGCACTTCATATGTACCTGACAGTACAGTGTGTTGCACCAAGGGACAGCAATGGAATTGTCTGCAGGCACACTGGTGTCCTTTCCCTTTCTCCTTTCTTTCCATCCCCTGCCCACACCTACAGCCTCAATCATGGCAATCACTCCAGATTAGGAGACAAGGTGATTGGTAAGCTTTTCAAATCTTCTCTTTAAGAAGAAGAAATTCTGAAAGGAAGTATTAAAAAACTCAGCATCATTTTCCACAGCTAAAGGCCCCTCTGCATTATTTCTGTTCCCTTTAAAGTCTGGAATGTTTGTGTTGGCTGGTTTTAGGAGGGCATGGGGCATTTTTTCTGTAAGCAAATTCAAATTTTCATATATTAGAAACACATTTAAGCTTTGGAAAACTATTTTTCAGCAGTTGCTTTTACAAGAAAAACATACTGTAAACACAACTCCAGACTGTGCTGCAAAGACCTTTCAGGTTGGATTGTACTGAGCAATGTAGGACAGGCCCAAATACTTGGGCAGGCAAAGCCAAGGCCTTTGATGCAGTTTACATGTAAATCTGATAGCTGGCTTACACTGATTAGTCTCTTCTCCAAGGAAATCCATGAATGAATGAATCCATAGGGAAGGCCTCCCTATTTCAAAAGAATCCAAGATGGCTGTTTTTTTCCAGATACAGAACCGTAACTAGTTCAGAAAGGGTCGAATGGATGTAGGCAGGTGATACTGGAGGTTTAGTACTTGTGCATAAAAGCAAGAAGAAGTAAAACTGCTGAAGTGACTGCTGAGTCCACTAACATAAAGCCACATCAAACTTATTCACTCCTTCCAATAACATTGGGGGCAACAAGTTCTGTCACTAAACAGTGTGTCATTAAACAGTTACAGAGCCACAACTGGTTCAAAAAGGGTTGCATGGATGTAGGCAGGTAACAGCGGAAGCTTAATGCTTGTGCATGAAAGCAAGAAGTAAAACTGCTGAAATGACTGCTGAGTCCACTAACATGAAGCCACACCAAAAAGTTATTCACTCCTTCCAACAATATTGAGGGGCAACAGGTTCTGTCACTAAACAGCATGTCATTAAACAGTGTTCAGTCATTAAACAGTGTTCTGTCATTAAATATTGCTCTGAAATTAATTTAGGGATAGCATAGCCCAAACAAGTGCTAGTTTTTCATTTAATCCATATAACACACTAGATTAACTGAGTCACTAAATCCATTCATGATATAGATTATTTTTCAAATCACAAAAAATCATAAGAAGTCATAGTTCTACACTGTAGACTGTGTTGGTTTTCCCCTGTGAAGTGCTTGTACTTGACCAAAATCAGGGAAGACCAAGCCTTTTCCAGAGTTGAATATTGTCTCAGCATGGCTCTAAATGTCATACTTTCACTCCAAAGCATTTGTGAGTCCACTTTCCAGCAGCATTGAGAACACACTTGCTAAGCCAAAACCTGTCCCTTTGTGGTGTTGTATACTGTTAACTCAAAACTGCCAAGCTAGGTATCATTTGAAAGGCTTAGTCTAAATATCAAGAGTAGTACTAAATCTCCAGTGAGAGTTTAGGAACTCCTGCAATTCGTAAAATCAAAGAGTTCAGTATTTAACCATGTGCCAAAGAACTAAGATAGAGTTACAGAGATAAACGCATTAAATTTTATTTCTTTGAGCTTTATTACATTAGGATTTTTAAAGATATGAAATGGACAATAGCAGCATCAAATACCTCATTTTAAAGGTTCAAGGGTGTCTGCAAACATCCTCCATGTACTCACAAATGACCACAGTTTAGCTTTCAGCAGATTAGATAGGAAGTCTGTGTGGCACATCATGTCACATTATAATGAGGAAGGAAGCTAGGAGAATTTTGGAACAGAAGAAAGTTGATTTTGGTTTTCGTACACAAACCCTTACAAGAGAGTGTCATGTCTTTCCATTTGTCTGGTAAAGACTTGTGGTAAAGACCATGGGGAAATGCAAATATAGAAAGCAACATCTGTAAAATCCTCTTTTAAAATCTCAGTACTATCAATACACGGAACTGGCCGTGTTCTCATGCTCAGTATATGCTGAACTTTCAATGAAAACAGGAAAAAACCCAACCCTTATTTTCTTTATCTTCATTATATGTTTTCATCTACATTTTGCTTTTCATTAAATTGCAGAAGCCTGAAGTTACATGTTTGGAGTCTTCTGCTCATGAGTTTTTCTCATACACACACCTAAACTTGGATCATAGTACACTGTTACAGAAAGCACTTCAAAGCACACACAATACACAAATGGATTCAATCCCTCAGAGTTTAAAACCTGTTACCTTCAAAATCATTGGAGAAAGGGACAAGGTATGCTAGGATTATGTCATGATGATGTAATACAGATGTTTCTTAGCAAGGGATTCAAAGTAGCCATTCCAGACATGTATGAGTCAAATTTTCATTTGACAACCTTTTCTTTCTTTTAAGTATTCCAAGTCCTTGCAGAAATGAGCCTTTAAACTGAGATTCGAGGTGTGATTGGCTAGAGGTTAGGTACAGCTATAACCTGGGGGAAATTCCATCTTTGAGGAAATGCATTCTTGGCATGTGTCTGAAGTTGTGCAAATGTTGAGGATGTGAGGGAGAGAGGAGAAGACAGGATCATTGCCTCCTTCCATTCTGTTTTATCATCCTCATTGCGTTATGCTACGCTGTCAATACCAAATGAGACCATCATCTGACTTGACTTGATGAGAGCTAGCATAGTTTTCCCTGCAGCTGACTAGGACTCTCTCCAGGAGTAAAGTGCTTGTTATATCAAATCTTAGGCTTCATACAAAAAGCAAAATAATCCCCATGGATGGAATCAGTTACAACCTTTCTTGTGGGTTGTGCTCATAGGCTTCCTATAGCACATATCCAAGTACCAGTTAGCCTTAACCTTACCTACTTAGAGAGCCAACAGTGCATGATAAAGGCTGTTATAATGCCCAGTTACAATATATGGCATAAGGTATAATCCACGAAAACCACAGAGCACCCCTGCCAGATACTCAGTATTTGCCATGGTGAATTAAGTGGGATTTCTAAAACTGAGGGTAACTTTGGGATAGCTCAAAATGGCTAAACAGCTCAAAGAAATCAGAAAATGTGTTTTGTCTCCTGCATTTGGCAGAAGAGAAATAATATTTCCCTCTCTTTGCAGAACACACCAAAAAACTTAAGATTACAATCATCAGAAAGATTGCGAATTCTTTCTATCAGCTCAATAGATGCAAGACAAAGACTCCAGCTTTGTATTCTTTTAGGCCTCAGTGTTTGCTCTCAGTACATGTCATGTTCTTACGGAAAGGAAGACTTGTTCTTCTGTGATATCCAGAGAGCAGAGGGAGTAGTTAAGTACTAGGATTCCAGTGTTTCGTACTGTTTATTAAGATGTTTATTAAAATTATTTCCTGTTATGAAAAAGACGCAGTGTCCAAAAGTGCTGTTCCATTTATAAGCTAACATTGTTGGAAATACCATGGGTTCTCTCTTCTGGACAAACAGCAACTGTGAGGTCACACAACCCTCTAGTCATAGCATAATGAACAAAGATATTTTTGGATAATGATGTGAAGGTCTTCTTTACACACTCTCTACATTATTTGCACTTTCGCTGTTTTCATCATTATCCTGAGAAGTTTATAAGTAATACAGGATAGATGACTATAAGCTATAAAATTTTACATAGTTGACAGAAGAAGTCCACATGGATCTCTGCTGAATGAGACCTTGAAATCTTGCTTATCCCTTCAGGCTTAATTTTTTTCAGTGTAACTTCTGTGAGACTACATTTTGAAGGCCTAAATATAATTGTTCTTCTAGTAACATGCAGCCGTTTTGTTCTCTAGCTTAGGATCCTGAAAGGTTTGATCTATTCCCCCAAAATCTGCTTCAAAGAACCATCTAATTTCTGGAAAACCTGTTTATGTTCCTTGCCAGGTTTTTGCATGAAAGTAACAACTAATTGATCTGGTTGTAAAGGACCAATCCTCCCTTTTATTAAGGGGCTGCTTTATGTTCTATTCTCACACCATAAATTTAGTGAAATTTATTCAAGCTTCTCACAAATGTAATAATAAAATTTCACTATGGCTTTTTAAACTGTATTCTTCAATATTATGTTTCCACATAATTGAAAACTATTTAAAAATAACATATGACTCTGGAGAAAAAAAAAAGGTTCACTTTTGAAATAACATTACAATATTTTAATAAGAAAAGTCTGAAACACTGAAATGGAAGTGGATGTCAGTTTCTTTTTCCAGGTAACAAGGGAAAGAACAAGAGGAAATAGCCTCAAGTTGTGGTCTGGGAGGTTTAGATAAGATATTCGGAAAAATTTCTCCACCAAAAGGGTTGTCAAGCCTTGGCACAGGCTGCCCAGGGAAGTGACTGAGTCACCATCCTTGGAGGTGTTTAAAAGATGTGTAAATGTGGCACGACATGACATGGTGTAGTGGTGGACTTGGCAATGTTACAGTAGTGGTTGGACTCAATCTTAGAGTTCTTTTCCAACCTAAACAGTTCTATGATTCTGTAATTCAAATAAATGACACCTATCCAAAAGAAATCACACCTGTTCCTAATATGAATAGAGGAATTAATAAAATGAAACATAATTTGATTTTTAAAGAATGAATATATTTACATGGTGTAGTGGTGGACTTGGCAATGTTACAGTAGTGGTTGGACTCAATCTTAGAGTTCTTTTCCAACCTAAACAGTTCTATGATTCTGTAATTCAAATAAATGACACCTATCCAAAAGAAATCACACCTGTTCCTAATATGAATAGAGGAATTAATAAAATGAAACATAATTTGATTTTTAAAGAATGAATATATTTATTCTCTATTAAAAATAGATAGTACATCAAGGTTTAAAATAGAAATATCAAAATTATTGCACAGTTAGCCAACTACCCTGGTTTGGCAGCAATATTTTACAACATCATTGCTCAATAATATGCTCTGGCAGATTAAACTCCACACAATCCACAATGTGTACCTTTTCTGTTTACATCATAAATCATCCTACTTCAGTAAGATAATTGTTCTGGCGTATGTATAAAACATCATACAGTAATATGATACATGCTTTATGAAAGCTGGAAAGAAGGAAAGAAAAGAGAATGTCTCTTAATGCTTCCCTTAAACCTCTGACTTAGATTTAAGCATTCACCTTCCCATTTGCAGTCATTTAACACAGACAGTTCCAAGTACACATACAAATACACATATATTAAGAAGATTTGTTATAAATAGTTTTGCTTTTATACGCAGCTTCAAATATACAATCTTCTGTATGTCTTTTAAAAAATAATGTCCCAGTTTAGTCTATAAAAAGTAAGAGTTCGTCCACAGTTAAATATCCTTAGTTAGAATGTGATTCCATGAATGTCCCAAAGAGTTTGTCCCAATGGGTGAAGTAAGGAGCATAGTTTGATTTGAATTTCAGATGATGGAGATCATGATGTGGTGCTCCTCCATACAAACCAAACGGCACAAGTCGATGAGTTGACCATGGAAGGTCATATCCTGAATGGTCCTCCACTGACAACCAAATATTTACCAGGAAGAAAATAATTTCTGTCAAAGGATGGCATCCAAGGAGCAGTGGGTTAATAGCAGCAAAAAATCCCAGTGAGAGTAATTCCCATACACTGGAATACTGTGTAGTAAGAGCAAATGTTGACACATGCTTGTGATGCACCTTGTGGAAGGTCTTGTAGAGCCAAGGCACCTTGTGATGAAGCAAATGCCATAGGAAGTACTCAAAATCAAATAGCAGCAGGCAAAGTGTTACTTGCAGCAGGACCTCAGGCAGCTCTGGAGCTATCACTGGTAGATTCATTGGTCTCCAGTACCAGTGTAGAAATGTCACTGGGAAGATCAAAACGGCATGGTGATACGCACTCTGAATAATGCAAGGCACCATCATTCCAAGAGTTGGATAGCTCTGTGGCTGGATTTTGTATTTTCTCAAGTTTGGCAGTCTGATGCTTAAAAAGTCCAGTGCAATATATGGCAGACAGAATGCCATGTATGCTGTAAAAGAAAACAGCACTGGAAAAAACGGTGACTTGATCAATGGCTCCTTCGCTGTGACAAAGTCCCAAAGAGACTGTAGGCACAACCTGTCCTGCTGTCTCTCCATCACGTAGCTGAGCAGCACGCTGGCTGGCAGGCTGCAGTTCATGCTGATTGCAGTCTGAGAGAACTGTAAATCCTGCAAGCCTTTATCTAGCCTGCTCCTCCCATCATCCTCCTTATATGGCAATACAGAGTTTTAAAGCGGAAGTTCCCTTTCCTGTCATACAGAGGTGATACATTATATTACAATCTCAGCACAGAATTAGCTAACCAAGGTGATCACTAGAGCTCTACAAGAGGCAAAAATTGGAAAAATAAGCAGAAATGCAGAACTCCGACACTGGAATTCAGAGAAACAGGGTTGGAACACTTCCCACTCAGTGTAGACACTTGAAAAAATTGCTATGTCTTACTAATTTTAAATTGTACCATACTTCATTATCCTTTTGCCTTTACAGGTAAGGAAATAGAAATTACCATTGTTTTTTAATTTTTTTTCAACGCAACTGCTACCAAAGTGTATGAGTTACCCAAACCCCAGGTCTGACCTGTGGATATCTGGTGGGTGATGGACGTCTACAAACACATTCCCTTAACGATCCCTTGGTTATACAATAGTCTTAGTCAAAACCTCAAGGAGATGTACACTAGGATTCCAGTCTGAATGTGGTGGCTGTGACTTATCTCCATCTACTTTAGAGGTCATGGTCTTCATTATGCACCTGTATCTACTAGACATGGCAAAATCCACCTGACTTGACTAGATGCAAAACTGAGCCAGTAACTTTTGAAGAACAAAATACCACCTAGTTGCAGAAGAGAATACAAGGTAACATCTCATTATGCTTCTAGACAGATACTTAGTGACTTACTGCATCATTACAATATTCACTCCACATCTCAACAGCTCTTAGAGCAAGATAGTATGAAAATCATCCTTTATCCAAGTATCAAATTGACTTACGCAATTATAAAATCCACCAGTTAGATCTATGTCCTTTAAAGGACATTCCTTTGACCATAGGCAAGCACACCACGGACAGAAACTTGACTCCCAACATTTCTAATTTGCTAAAAATATTTTAGGGGTAAATGATGGAGGTTTTGATTTAACCACTAAGACATGACTTCTTTTGTGCTCTTAGAAAAAGAAAAACAAAGCTTTGAACACTTAGGGAAACAAAGTTTGCCATCAGTTTCCTATGAACTCACCTCTTTTGTAGGTACAGCATTTATTCTAATATTGGAAATGAGCTCAACTTCCTGGATGACTTTATTAGCTCACTCAGAGTATTTTAGTTCTTTGCTAGTCAGAGATTTGACGGGGAAAACAAGAGACAGAATTTCTTTGCTTCTCAATAATTAAAAATTATTAATTTGCAGTGACCTTTTCTGAATATGCATGAACTTCTAACACTTAAGTTTGCTTTCAGTCTTAACTGTTTTCTCTTCGAGAGATCTTGCTCTAAAGGAAGATTTTTCTCTTTTGTTAGGCTTCAAGAAGTTTACTGAAACAGTAATATTATTTGTGCTATTATTCAGGCAATCACAAGTTCTTTCTAGAGACAAGTCTATACCTGTTACACATAAATTCTAGAAATAAATTCAGATTCATTTCTAGAAGAAATAAAATCAGATTCTTTGCTGTTGTGAGACTGTTCTGTTGAATTCAATCAATTCAGAATGTTAATTACAGTGAAACTAAAACTCAGTGAGAGACACTAATCTAACAGATGAAGATCTGTATCCAAGACCTTCATTTCAATCTTCTGACTGTATTTAATCCTAACCTCTATTTTACAATAAGGAAATGAAAAATGCATTTGTAACACAATCACCATCTGGGTCTGAGAATATTCATGTGATTTCTCTTGATTTATATAGTTACAATCAGAAATTAAACCTCCCAAATGGGATACATGATTCTCTATTTTATTAGAATTATGCAGAGACTGAATTTATTCTATAATGTATCCCAAACCTGCCTAAAGGGAGACTGACACACAGTGCTCAGCTGTCTTAAAGAGACTCCTCTAACTAATCCCTGCGACCCTGTGAAGTCTCAAGAAGTTTTAGAGCCACTGCTGCCTACAAGCTATATTTTAAAGAGTAGGCATTCTGCCTGCAGATTAGGCCATAGAAAAAATATTCTTAAATCCGTTAAGGAAAAAGATGGGAATTCCGCAGTCCTACTACTCCTTTCTCCTGCAACGTAAAGCCCAAGCAAGGCTCG